CGCTATGAGTCGCAAACGACTCAACGGCACGTAACAACAACAACAACATCATGATGCTGTCTATTAGTCTACTGGTGAAAGTTTTTGTTTCCTTGATTTTGAGACATAAGCCGTACTGAAGGCTATCTTCTGCTCCAAGTCCTTAGCACTTTAAGCAAGTAAGCTTATGTCATTTGCATAACACAGGTTATTGACGAATTTTTCTCTAATCCTCATGACACACTCTTCTTCATAGAGTCCAACTTCTTGAGTGATTTGCTCATCACACATATTATATAGGAATGGGGAAAGAGTACAATCTTGATGTACACCTTTCCTAATTTTAGACCCTGTAGTGTTCTCTTGCTCTGTTTGCACAATAATACCTTGGTCTAGGTCTAGGTTTCAAATGAACACTAATAAGAGTTCTGGAATTCCCATTCTTTTCAATGCTAGCTATAACTTGTTATGATCCACATAGTCAAACACCTTTCATAGTCGATGAAGCACAAACAGATATTCTTCTGATATTCTCTACTTTCAGCTAAGATATATCTGACATCTGTCTAAGCAATGATAGTTTTAGTGCTATGGCCTTGTCCAAGTCCATGTGTAAGTTCAGATTGAGGCTGAAGAAAGTGAAGACAAATTGATAAGAACTAAAATTTGATCTTGAGTCAATCTTAAAATCATCTTAAGAACAGCTTTGAAGCATTGATGATATGATCAAAGATCAGATAAGTTCCTGGATGACATTCAAGATATTACCCATGAGAAGAGCAAAATGTCACTCTAGAGGGAGAGGTGAACAATAAACCAAAATGAATATCAGATGAAACTGTGAAAATTGTACTAAAGCATCAAAATGTCAAAACAAAGGAAAGAGATGTTGAAGCAAAAAAGTCTAAAAGAAGATTCAAAAAAACAGCTTGAAAAAGACAAAGTAAAGTAATATAATGGGCAGAGATCTAGAAATGGAGAATAAAAGAGGTAAGCTAGCTCAGCATTTCTCAAGCTGAAAGAACTAAAAAACAAATTCAAGTCTCTAGTTGAAACACTGAAAAATCCTATGGACAAGACCTTGAATGATCTTGGGAGCATCAAAAAGAGATGGAAGAGTGTAGCATTACTGTCCTAAAAAGAATTGGTTGGCACTGAAATATTTGAAGAAACGCCATATGATCAAGAGCCAATGGCCATGAAAAAGAAGTTCTAGCTGCTCCAAAGGCATTGCAAATATAGGGACCCAGAAATCAATGAGATAGCAATTGATGTGTTTCAAATAATCCTAAACGTGCTCACCAGTCTACGCCATGGAATTTGGAGGACAACTGACGGGCCAACTGACTGGAAGAGATCCAATATTGCTTAAGATCACCCAAAAATGACTAAAACAGTACATAGAGAACTGTCAGCAATTCAGACTGGGTTTAGAAGAGGCCATGACACCAAGAATATCATTGTTACCATTTACTTAAAATATTATTCACAAACAACAAATGCTGACAAAGTTGTGGAGAGATTGAAACTCGTATACACTGCAGGAGCTGAAGGGCCAGATCCTGCAAAGGTGTGTTTTCTGGTTTGGAGTTGAGACTAGGCTGTGAGCTGATTAGATTTGGCCTGATATTCAAAAAGGCTTTTGGGCAACAACAGTCTGGGGCTATTTCCAGGTTGGTAAAATGAGCAGAATGGCCAGATTCTGCAAAGGTGTGTTTTCTAGTTTGGGATTGAGAGTAAGGTGTAGCTCTTGCTCACAATAGGCTGTGAGCTGATCAGATTTGCCTTGCCTTTAAAAAGTACTTTAAGCCCTCAGGCCAATGGCCCTCAGCCCTGTTTTTTGTGGTTCTCCCAAATAAAACAGGCTTGGAAACAGGAGTGGCATTCACTTCCAAAAGAATTTGCCTCAGTAAATTCTATTAACCTGGAGAAAAGATGAAAGTTTGCATTCAAGACTTTTTGTTCATAGGGTCGCTATGGGTTTTCTAAGACTACGGGCACTTAACAATAACAACAATATCTTTCTGTAAATCTCATTTTGTACTGTAAGGAAAACCTGCATTATAATATTACTAACCTCTCTTTGAAAGTTCAAGTTTACGTAAACTTCACTTTTGGCAGAAGCACCTAACTTTTGTGTTTAGGCATCATGCCTCCATCAAAAATAAAGCCTTAATGTGTGCACAAAAAAATATTCAAGAAAATTTTTAAACAACTATTAAACAATGGGCAATATGACTGGCTGGGAGGTAGTGAATATTGTGCCTGAAATAACTGATCAGATTCTCTACATATGTCTGGTAAACGATTAAACTTAAACCACAGTAACAACCTCTGCCCTTGCTAAAATCTTTAGATTAGCAAACACTGAATTGATAAAAGGATTATCTCATTAAATTTAGTACTTTAATATTACCATGTTATCTTAGGACCTCATTACAAAATACTAAAAAATCTGTTATTCATTGAATAACAATGCCTGTTAGCATAGTTGTTAAAAAGTATGCCTGCTAACTTGACAAGTTAGTAGTTCCAATCCATCAGTCTTTCAGAAAAAAGATGGCAGCCGACTGATTTACAGGCTTGGAAAATTCTACAGGACAATTCTACTCTGTCCTTTAAAGTTACTGTGGGTTATAACTCACTCAACACAACTAGGTTTGGGTTTTTTTTTAAAAACTATCTCTTGAATTATTAAAAACCCTTGAAAAATCTAAGTTCGAATTTCTAAAATGTCCACCTTGCAGGAGTATATAGTAATGGGGGGAAAAATCAAACTTAAAAGCAAAAACCAAAATCAAATACAAAAACTATAGTATTAAAAATTGTCACCGTGTACCAGGAGAATATTCCTGCATTTAATCAACATAGCTGTTTGGAGTAGTGAGACTATGGCTTTTTGTCTTGCTTTATTTCCCCTCTTTTCCTGCAAATCATGTCAGTTATGAGATATATGTATATAGAGGAATTCTGGTGACTTCAACTGCCAACCCAAAAGTAAGTGGTTCAAACTCACGAGCTGCTCCATGGGGGAAAAATGGACAGTCTATTGTCATTTACATCCTCTGAAAACTGGAAGGTCAGCTTTGAGTCAGTTCTGATATCACGGCAATGAGTGAGTAGGTGATATTTGTAGGTATGTATAGCTCTTCCTTCATAAATATGCTTGACACATGCTTTAGTTTCACTCTTCTTCAATCATAAAATTTTAGAGCTGAAAGAGTTTTCCCTTTTTAGATAAAATAGCTAAATCTCAAAAAGGTCAAACAATTTTTCTCACTGGTTAGCAAAGTTCAGTTCCCCTGACTCCTATGCTACTTGTTTTCTAGCCATCATACTACTTTCTGATGTGTGCCCTGCCCTCTCCCCGATTGGATGAATGAAATGAAAGCATGTGACCACCTACCCACACACCTTGGCAGAGGTGCACTCCACACACGACGGCCTCCACCCAGGCAGGTAAGCTTGGTTGCACCTTCTAGGCGATATCCTGGGAAGCAGGAGAAAGTCAGAGAGTCCCCTACTCCAAAATGGAAACCAATTCTTCGGCTGAATGCGGGGACACCAGGGTCATCACAGGGCTCTAAATCGTATTCTGAGATGAAAGAAAATGGAAATTTGTCAGAATATTCAATTACTTAAAAAATAAATACATAAACATGCAATTATTAAAAAGTAAACTGATAGTTTTCTTTAAACTCTGTGCTGTTACACAGGTTCTTTTTATTTACAATATGACCTCTTTTGGTGTAAAGAAGAAACTGTAAGTATTATTTAAATAGGCATATCAAAATTTAAGAAAGAAATGATATCTTCAATTTCAAAACTGCTATTTGGAGTATGTGGAGTATTCCATTTATTTTTTTTTATTATTAAAATCAACTCTTATATGTTTCCCAAAAGTACTTTATGACAATAAATATGTGGACCACAAATGAAAGCAATGTAAAAAGTGTTACACTGGTGAAAAGTTGTTCATAGCCAATCTTACCTTAAAATCTATCTTTTAAAATATATAACTTCCAGAAAAACCATTCCCCTTATTTTCAAACTATAAACAATGTATTTTAGTAGTAGGTAGGGGGAAAAAATCTATTAGAAATCTAGGAAAGAAAATGTTGCATCCAATTTTTTAAAATGTATAATGCCTAATTTTTTGTTATATGTTGAGATTCATTTCCAAAATATATTAATTAATGACCATATTTTATGTTTGTCTTATTCCCTGTATTAATGTGGGCATCAGTAGACTCAGAATAAACTCATAGCTGACCCTGCAGCTGGTTTTCAGAAGCTATAAATCTTATGAATGAATTTTACTCATTTTTCTCCAGTGAAGTTACTGGTGGATTCTAACTGAGTGACTTGGGGTTGGAAGTTGGATTCCTTATCACTAGGCTACCAGAGAACTCATTCTCTATAGTCAATTCACTCATTGTTAAATATGAGTAAAACTGTAATCAGTGTTATTGATCTTTCAGTCCACTAATAACTTCATATTTTGGTCAGTGGAGAATAGAGTATGAAACAACCTATTAGTTCAGTTGTATTGCTTTCTAAACTTTAACATCAAATATTTATTGGAATAATTTCAGTATGTGTACTTAGGGAAATGCCAGAGAGTATTGGAATAGTGAAGAAACATTAAAGAGGATACACTTTTAAAAATCAATTAAAGAATACTTTTTATTATAAGAAGTGGAAAATATAAAAGACAGTACTCCACAGTGTGGTAAAAGGAAAAAATAACCTAGAAAAATTTGCTAAAAGAAAATATGGCCTCATTTTCTGATTATCAGCTATTTTTAAATTCTCCTACCTCTGAGGGAAAGAGCCTAGAAGGGGAGGAAGGGAAACACACAACAATCAATAAATGAATGAAAACACAACCTTTGTATTAACTTTTATTACACTAATATTTTTTAAAAAGCTTTCATAAGAGACAAACTGGAATTAAGCTAGAAGCCTAGTCTATGGTATAGACTTCCAAATACAGCCAGAAAGACTGTTGTAAGACTGAATTTGATTAGTGAATATATTAAATCTAACCATTCTTTTTCTCTCTATTATCTTCAAGGGATCTCTGGTGGCTTTGTGGTAAGGCTTGGTAAATCCAAAGATAGACAATTTGAAACTAAAAGCTGCCCTGTTGGAGAGAGATGACTCCTCTCTCACAATTTATTGTCTCTGAAAACCTGTGGCTCACTAATGAGTTGAACACACTCAAGGCTATTACTCCAGCAGGTGTTTAAAGGTGTAATCTCATGGAAGGAGAATGTAATTCTTTCTTCCACACAGCAGCTAGTGGATTCAAACTGTGTATCTTTGGGTTGGCAGCACAGTTCCGTAGCACTAAGTCACTAGCCTTCAAAGCTGTTCTTTAACCTCCCCTTCCATCCCCCCCAAATATTTACTATATTTGTCAATACTACTATTATTATGTGCTGTCAGGTCAGAACTAACTCATAACTGACTATCCAGCTGGTTTTTAGAGGCACGGGAGATTTTCCATCTTTCTCTTTTGGATCACTATGGATTTGAAACATGTACTTTGGGTTGGCAATGCACCCCCTTAACCCTAATCCCCCAGTACACTCTTCATATACTACTACACCCTCTCAATGACAGGGTTCTAGTCATATTGGCTTTATTTTTGCCTTAACCTACTGAGTAAATTTCCACTTGTGCTGAGAACTGTGTCTCCACATAATATCTCAATTTTCTCTTAGTCTGTAACAAAAGACAGTTTCTCAAAGAGATATTCTTGGAAAATTCCTCTATGGTATTAAAGTTGTATTGTTTAAAATGGCACAAGATCCTATCAGTTGATGCAGAAAAGGCCTTTTAGAAAATAAAATGCTCCTTCATCATTAAAACACTCAGCAAAATAATAGAAGGGAATTGCCTCAACATAGTAAAAAATATATAGCAAAATCATTGTTAATAGAGAGATTAAAGGCATTCTCATTGAGAACAGGAAGTAGGCAATGATGCCCACTATCACCTATTCAAAATTGTAGATCATGAACATTGCACTGGAACAGATGAATGGAAGGACTGTCTGAAAGGAATGTTTGATTAGGTATTATATGTATGAAAATTAACAATCTGGAACAAGAGGTGCATTACAAAGTACTCTGAGGGAGGGAGACAAGAAGGGGAGAAAGGGAAGTGCACAACAATGAATAAATGAATGAATGAATGAATGAAACACAAGCTTTGTATAAAATTTCATTAAACCAATATTTTTTAAAAGGCTTTCATAAGAGACAAACTGGGATCACGTTTAGCAGCCTAGTCTACAATATAAAGAGAATTCCAGATACAGCCAGAAATGCACAAGCTGGAGAGGATAAGGCTGATAAATGGGATCTTCTAAATATTAAATCCCTATGCTCATCAAAACCTTTTCTCAACAGGGTTAAAAATAATCCTACCTACGGGGAACAAACATTGGCAACACCAGCTCAGAAAAGGGTCTCAGGACAAAAATTTACAGAATACTAATGGACCTGCAGAAGAAAGACTGATATAACCCAATTACAAAATGGGCAAAACACATGGAAAAATTTTTCATAGAGGAAATGTGGTCAACAGACACATGAAGAAATATTCAAAATCGCTGGCAATAGAGCGATGCAAATCAAGACCACAATAAGGTACCATCTTACTCCAGTAGGAGTGGCAAAGTTTAGCAGAGCAGCATAAAATAAATGTTGGAAAGAACGTGGAGAGATGAGAACTCTTTCTAATACACTATTGTTGGGATTGTAAAATGGTGTGACCATCTGGAAGACAGTTTGGTGTTTCCTCCAAAAGTCAAACATAAAAATCACAAATGACCCAGCTATTCCACTACTAGGAATACACCTTAAGGGAATTAAAACTGAGACACAATGTAGATCTGTACACCAATGTTTATAACAGTATTATCCACCACTGTAAGATCATGAAAACACCTCAAATGTCCAACTACAACTGAGTGGATTGAGAAATTGTGGTAATTCACACAGTGGAATACTACACAGCACTCAGGAGCAATTTCAAAAGCATACTTCATAACTTGGGAGAGACTGGAGAGAATCACGCTGAGTAAACTAACTCAGTCTCATAAGGGCAAATACTATGTAAGACTATTATTATAAAAATAGAAGGATAACTAATAAAATATGTGTGGGGACACAGCAGAGGAAGTTGTGGAAGCAGGGATGTGAGGATGGGAAGGGTGAAACCACACGATTGCCCAAATTGGTAGGTGGAGGGAGGAGGGGAAGGAAATAGGAAGGACCCAGCAAGGACCTGGAAAGGGAATGATTAATTTTATAAAATATAATGCATGGGAATGATTGTATGGAACACAATACAAAGAATAGTGTGGAAAAAAATGTATACAAACTTTGTGGGCTAATCAATATAAAATAAAATAATTTTTTTAAGAGTAAAAAAATAAAAGAAAAGGCTTTCTTAGCCATGTAGCTTTGACTTTGTCAGTTGGATGGGTGGGACTATGTGAACAGAGTGTATTAGTCTATCCATAAGGGGATTGGCTAGTTTCACCAATCCACATGAGGATGGGGCAGTTTTGCCTTTAAATTTAACAGATCCATCAGCAGAATAAGAGAATCTCATCCACAATAAAGAAGAAGCAAGAGAAGGCCATGTGACCTTTGAGGCCAGAGATTCTTACACTATTGCTCTGACCACTTGGTCCTTACAGGAGCAGCAGCCATACCAGCACAGCAGAGAACCAGAGACTTGATGTGACACAGAAAACCTTAGGATTACTACCTTGTGGAACCAGAACTAGGAGGCTTTGCCCAAGTTTGTTAGACAACTGAGTGGGCATGGGATAGGCAAAACCATACCTGAAAGGACTAAGGGCTTTGTTAACACTGGCTTAAAGCCATGAGGCTCAAGGCTGAGGCGTCTGCAAACACATTTTGGAAGCTGTCCCAACTATGTGATTGTAGTCTGCTACTAATCTGAATTATAACCCTTTTGACTTCCCTAATATAGTTCTGTGTGGTTTGTGAACTCTCACATAGGATTTTGGAGTCAGCAAAGAATTAAAACTGGTGCTGGGTGAGTACAAATAGTTACAGGAGCATGGAGGACATGCATGAACTCACAGGAATTGGTTTTGTGTCATCGATGTTTTTGATGGGATGGTTCCTCTTTGTGAAGTTGGTAAAGACCAGATGGCTGCCACAGTGTGGCCTGTGCACTTTTTATAGTCTCATATGTCACTAACTTTTCTTTCTATTGTTCTGACCACTTTTGTTTTGTTTAACCCCTCGTATGTCAGTATCTTTTATTTCTATTGCTATGACCACTTCTATTCCATTTCATAGCACAACTGTCTTCCCACTAGAATGCCAATCCCTTAAAGATTTATATATTCTTTATTCATGGCTACATTTTCAGGACATAAGATTATATATAAAAATTTTAAGAAATATTAATTACATGGGAAAAATTAAAAAAAATATCTCCAACAGCGGTAAATTTGAGTATAGTATTTTCTGAGTACTATTTCAATAATTGAAGAAGACACAATGCCCTCGTTTAAGACTGGTCATGCAATTAAGATAGACA